TTCTGATCAAATTGACCATGCTCTCTCTTTACCCCTCTGCATAACTTCTGCATTTCTCATAGTCTTACAAAATTGTTTTTCAGAACTCTATTCAATTCTCTTTAAACTTTTTAATAAATGTCTGAGCCTTGGTTTCTTTCCTGCTGGAAAATGGTATCTGTTGTTCCAATTTTCAAAAACTCTGGTGAACATTCCAACCCTTCCAATTATCGCCTGATTAGTCTTCTTTTCTGTTATTAGCAAGTTCTTTGAGTCTTTGATAAAGAAATGTCTCACATCCCATCTCGAGCCAAATGAAGTCTCATTTTTTTACTCTATCTGTCCCTGCATATTCTAAAAACTTTTATTCATGTAGTTTTTCCCCCCACAATTCAAACTTTGGAACTCTCTCCCATCTTCATGTTTTTCTGACTCATACAACCTTCAACTTTTCAAGTCTTCTGTCAACTGTTCCCTTGCTCTACAATTCTATTCTTTTTTTCTAGTAACTTTCAACTTAATAGTGGTTGCTTGCAGCCTTGTTGGGAGTAAATCATAATAAAAAAATTAGTTTGCACATTTTTGAATAACATAAAAATATATAGGTTGTGTTGGCTAGTCATACTTTTTGATCATAATACTTCGCAGATTATGATCAAAGTTGTTTTAATGGTGTTTTTGCAACATTTATAAACATACTTGTAATTGCGGGTTTACATTAAATTTAACAAAAAAAAAAAAAGACAAAACTTTACACAGATTCATTTTCCGCAGATTAGTATTATTCCCTTTGATTTTAGAAAGTATCACTTCCTTTGATTATTATCACTTCGTGATCAAAGGCGCTTACACAAAATAATAAAATAATAAAATGTAAAAACAATAGAGTAATATGAAAATTTCTGGGAAGATAAAATAACTTTATTAGACTATCTTCAAAGGAATTCAAACCTTCACAATGGGTTGTAAGCCATACAGCATAAAAACATGCATATGAATATACAATGACTTTTTCTAAGAGCATTAGTTTGTCGCGAAGTAGTACACAAAAGAAAGCATCCATAAAATATGTATGCAGTAAAATCAATGGACCTCCTTCTCCCTTGTATGCAACTGTATGCTTTCAGTTAATGTTGCTCCTGTGTAAATACACATTCCTTGTTATAAAACAAACCCTCTCCCAATGCATAAACTTTTTAAAAAAATTAAAAAAAAATAAAAACTTTTATAGTTAATTCAACATATCTATGTTACATAACATAATATTAAATTTTTAAACTTGTGAAATTCTGTTTTTTACAAAAAAAATAATCAGGTTTTAGCAGAGATAGAGAATGAGAGATCTTTTTGTTGGCATCAGGTCAAGTCTCACTCTAGTCTGCTTTTTTTCTAATTGCTCAGCTGCTATATTGGAAAATCTTTGATAGTTTCATTTAAAAAAGCTAATATTACATCTCTCATTTAGGTCTGAATTTATAGCATTTCAGATTGTCTAGGTAAAGGTAATTTTCAGTTCAATTATTTTACAGTCTGTGATTGGAAGAAAAAAAATTCCTGTTATAGCTTTTTAAAAATGCTCTCAGAACTCTCACTTTCTATCGCTCACTAAACAAACTTTTGAAAAATATTTCATAATTTTATATTAATGTTTAACTAAACTCAGTTTTATATACTTTTTGTAAAAAAATATATATATTAAAAACTAAATATTAGAAAGAAGCTATCATTCTTTAGATGAATGTGCTAAGGCAAGAGCCATAGGTCTTAATGTTTGAAAAACTTTTAATAATGTTTAGCGTGTGGATCATCTCCATATGATCTCTTTATGTAATATATTTTAAAAAGTTTTTAAAATGATTGAAACTTTGTTATTGCAGTAATAGTTGTTGCAACTTATTTAATAATTAATTAACAATTCTTCACTTCCAGTAACCTTTATGATATCAAGGTTTAATCCTTGATTCTGTATTTGTCTGTCTTCTAATCAATATGTTTCTTGACACCTTACTTTTAAACTATTTGCTAATGATACAGCCATATACAGGGTGGCACTCTGTTATATGCAGTATTCTTAAAATTGAAAATCACAATGTATAGGTAACAAACAATCTTTGGCTAATGTTTGCTAAATCATATACTAAAGTTTTATGATAATTATAACTATTGTTGAAAAAAAAGATTCAGTTAATTAGCTTTTACCTAGAACTTGTTAATTAACGGAGAACACTTTAGTAAAAGTGCAAAAGGAATATTTTTTGATCACAGACTGAAGAGGAATTTAAGTAAGAAAATTGTGCAGGGCTCGAATTAAGTGTATCGCGATCGCAAATTGCTTTTTATACTTTCGCGATTAGTTTCTTCTTAAAACATTTATTTTCGCGATTGTTTTACTTTTTTAGTTGTTTATTTACTATTTTTCTAATTTAGCTTTTATTTGGCAATTCTTAAAAGTAATGTTTTCATAGTAAAGTACATCACGCAAAGTTTGTCTTTTGAATAGAAACATGATCATTTGCTCTTTCGCATGGAAATAGAAGCAAATAAAAAAGACAAAAGTTAAAATTTTTTTATAACAAAACAGCATTTTTATCTATTTTTTAAAAAAACGTTGCTCCAAATTAACTTATTAATAATGAATGAAATTATTATTTTATAAACAATTTTGTATAATGATTTAAACTACTTCAAGTATAATAAAATATATATTAATTCGTTTTTATTAAATAAAATTTCTATTAGTAAAATTGTACTAATAGAAACCAGCAACTTTTTTGCTTTCACGTTTTTTGCTTTTAACGACCTTGAAACTATTTAACTTAAAGAACTTAAATTTTAAGTTATATTTAGTTAACTTTACCAAATGGATAGAGTATACCACAGTAAATGAACTTATAACCTAAATCAAAACAACCAGTTAAGTTAAAATAGTAACTTACAGTTACTCAAGTGTTAATTTAACAATTATATTAATTTATTTAATATACTCGCAAAAGTTAGCCATAGACATGCTTCAATTTAGATCTTAATGCTGTTAACACATAATATAAGCTTTTAACTAATAATTATTTTAACAAAAATTGTCGAATAGAATATGAAAAACGCGACACCATTTTTTTATATTTTCATTTTATTTATCATCAGAACTAAACATTTTCTACAAATATGCAAGTTGTTTTCAGAAATTTTATTTAAAAAGAAATCTATTTGAACAAGAGAACTTTAGCCTTAAATTCACTTATTCAAATAATTTTGTGATTGAAATTTGAAATTGAAAAAAAATTTAAAAATTTAAAAAAAGTTTGATGAAACAAGGGAGAATGAAGATGAAAGTTTTTTTTTCGTAAATCGTAAATTTTGAATGAAAAACTTAAACTTTTAATAATACGCTCGATTAGGAAACGGTAATTTATAAAAGACATGGTATTTAATGTTTTTTTGCTTTGACCTTACTCGTTTGGTCTATAGATTATAAACTTGTATAGGTCTATAGGCGCAAATATGAAGTTTATTTAGTTTATTAACTAGCTCAATTTTAAAAACTGTAAAATTTTTTTTTTTTTGCGATTAGATTTTTTTGCGTTAATTCGACCCCTGTTGTGATTAAGATGTCTAACAATGAACTATTTCTCTAGGATAACAGAAAGAAAATGGTCAGATCTAAGAAATGAATTTGAGAAAAACTTTGCAAACAGTTTTGTTTAATCTTTGGCAGAATTGGTAATAAAATCAGATTATTGTACATATTTATGTATATAGAAAGGTATGAACTACCTAAGAGAAAACAAGGAAAAACTGAACACAAGCTACTTTCGAAGATGAGACCAAGAAGTGTAGGTAAGTGATAAGGATTGTCTGGAAAAAAAAAAGTTAAATCTAATTAAGCTAACCTTTTTAATTAAAAGAATCAGAAATAGAAGAAAATATTTTCATTGTTTCTTTAATTTTTTTTATATTTATTAATGTTACAACCCTCTTTTAATCCTTAAACTTGCCTTTTACAAACAATTTGAAGAATTAAGTGCCATGCTAAAAAAGGACATGGTTAGAATCAAACTGAGCGGTCTACCTCTACACCACTACCACATGTGGTTTGTAGCACATGAATATTTATTTAGACTTTCATTTGTAACTTGAATTTTTGTTAGTAATTAATTGTTTCTTTTTCGATTATTTAACAACTATTTTTGTTAGTAATTAATTGTTTCTTTTTCGATTATTTAACAACTATTTTTGTTAGTAATTAATAGTTTTATAAGCTACATTAGTAAATTATATTAGACTATATCAAAAAACCTTATTTAAAATTTAGCCCTTGCAATTTGTTATTTTATATTTACAAGTTTTATATGAGAAAATAGTTTCTTTTCATTTTAAATGTGCTCAGAAATTTCATAAATTTCAGATCAATTTATGAAAACTTTTGATAAGATAAATATTTAAATCAACATTTTAATTTTAAATTTGTTAAAGGCGTTGCACCAGTAAGAAATCATCTTTAACAAAATTTAATGCCATAAGAGTATGATGAGAGATGATATTGCAACTGAACTCATAACATTATGATGAGAGATGATATTGCAACTGAACTCATAACATTATGATGAGAGATGATATTGCAACTGAACTTCTGCATGAAAACTCTTATTTAAATAGATTTCCCATTAAACATCAATGCTTTAGAATGCTCTTCCGAAATTTCCAAACTATTTACAATTTATTATGAGCCTTCTGTCAACCATACTTCTTAACTCTCTTTTCTATTCTTGAACTTCAATAGAAGTTACCTGCAGCCTTAAAAAAGTTAAAAAAAATCTAATTTTTTTTAAAGAAAACTTAAGTTAAATCATCATCTAAAATACCACTGCAAATTATTTAATAATGAATGAGAAAAATATATCATCTCAGGAGTGACTATTGCAAAATAAATACTTCTAACATTATATAATTGATATAAAATTATTTTATAAAAATAAATAATTATAAAAGGTCATCATAAAAACTAAAAAAAAAAAACACCTCACCACACACAACAAATTTATATAGATTTGCTGTTTTTCCAATTATGTTTGCTTGAAATGCAAATAATAAATCATTTTGCCAAAGATACCTTGACGAATATGATTTTGATCTTATCATAACATAAGAATCATTTTTTTGAAAGATATAATAAATACACTCATAACTAGCCAAGTGATATATAATAGGAACCCAATTTGAATGACAAAGATATTTTGTATTGTCTGTTAATGACTGAAATAAAACTCCAGGATTTCCTATAAATAATGCAAAAATACAACAACAACAATGACTACTACCACTAGTCCAACAACAACTACCGCAAAACAACAACAACAACTACTACTACTACTACTACTACTACTACTACTACTACTACTACTACTACTACTACTACTACTACTACTACTACTACTACACATCCTTAGTAGTAATATTAATATTAATAATAATTTACTCATTTTTTTTGTAAAACTGCTCAAATAAGCTTTTTCAACAGTATAACCAATTCTCCTTTTTCAATATTATTTAAATTTGGTTGAATTTACATAACAATAATTTACAATATAATCAATTCTCACCATTTTCAATTGAAAACTTCATGCCACCATTACAATTGTAAACAACTTTATTATTTTTATCTTTATCCAAATAACAATTAGGAAGATCATGAAGTTCAATGAAGTAGTTCACAACTAAAGTTAAAAGTTATAAAAATGTTGAGATAAAATGAAAATAAGAATATTACTTTACAAATAGTATTGTAAAACTGATGAAAACCTATATTTGAATAACCTATAATTTGAAAATATAAATTAAAATTCTTGACTACTAAATATTTAAGGAAAATAAAAATTTTTTTGAACCAAATAAAACCATTAAAAAAGTTAAATAGATGGTTGCATTTATATAAATCAGGTTAAAATGTATTTAATGATGAAAATATTGCATTATCTTTATTTATTCTTAACAACAAAGGATTTTGAACATAATGACTTAAAATAAAAAAGTAAGACCTATGTCAAAGTTCAAACTAATTGTGTGTGTAAATGTAAAATAAGCTAAAATGTGAAGAGTCAATGGCATAGCATAAGTCACTTGTTTTAAAGTTCATAAAAACCGTCTAGAAAACTGTTTACCATATATTTTTTTCAACAAGAATATGTTATAGTTATTATGTTTCGAAACCATTTTTGATTTCATTATTTAAAAGTTTATTTACATTTTTATTGCTAAATATTATATTTAATGTTTGTTTTAAACATGAAAAATTACAAACAGAAAATACTAAGAAAAAAAAACTAGATACATATCTTTGAAAGAAGTAAATTTTAGAAAAATTTAAGAATACAAATTTAGTCTTGAGGCCAAGCCCCTTCAAAACAAGAATATAAATAATAAAAATAAAAAAAAATTACTGTTATCACAATGTAAAATTGAAAATGAATGAAATGATTTATAATTTTTACAAAATTAATGTTTTTTGTCAATTGAAAAAGAGTATATACTTTTAATAATATTATAAAATAAAAATTTCTAACAGAAAAACAAAGTACCTCCAAATATATCTGAACAACAAGACACCAGAAAAAAAATAGATTGTAAAACCTAGAAAAAAAAAAATTTTTAAATTTAAAGTTTTATACTTTAACTATTTTTTAAATCTTATTGCACTTTGCAATACGCTTAATACAACTTAACACTTATTTATACATAAAGACAATCATGAAATTTAAAATCATATTTATATGTATTGTACATATATATATATATATATATATATATATATATATATATATATATATATATATATATATATATATATATATATATATATATATATATATATATATATATATATATATATATATATATTCTTTGCTTACAACAAGGCTGCAAGCAACCACTATTAGAATTAAAAGTTACTGGAAGAGGAAAGATGAAGATTGTAGAGCAAGATAACGATTGGCAAACAACTTGAAAGATTGCAAATTATATGAATTAGGAAAGCAAGATGAAAGAAGCGAATTCCAAAGAACTGATGAAAAAAAAATTGAGGAAAAAAACTAGATGAGTAAGAGCTTTTGGGGCATTTAGAAACAGTCACAGAAAAAGGATTAGATTTAATTAAATGACGAGTAACGTGAGAGTTCTTCAGAGCAGTGCCTATTGTAGTATTTGTAAAAAAGAGAAAGAGAAACAACATTACGACAATGTGATAATGGTTGGAGGTCGGCTGTAAGAGCAGGTCCAACTATGTTTACAATATGTTTTTGCACATATATTAAAACAAAGCCTGATTTTGATATATATATATATATATATATATATATATATATATATATATATATATATATATATATATATATATATATATATATATATATATATATATATATATATATATATATATATATATATATATATATATATAAATATATCAAAATCAGGCTTTGTTTTAATATCATATCATCTGTCATGTCCAATACCTGACACTTGCAGCTGGTTGATATATATTAATTTAAAGATGTGGAGAAGGAAGATTTATTTTTGTTTACAACTTATTTTAAAAGTTTATTTTAGTTTTTGATTTATAAACTTCAATTTTTTTTGTTAACTTATCTTTTTAATTATACCTTAGTACAACCTTAAAAACACTGTTAAAAAATATTCAAGTTTATAAATATCATTAAAAAATTTAATTCTAATTTAAATTTAAAAGGCATTTTAAGTATTATTTAAATTTTAGATTGTCTAAATGTATAGACTTAATGATGTAAACCAAACTGCCTGACTCATGAAAATTGATTGTATATCATATCCCACATTTAAAGTCATAGCATTTAAAAGTGACCTAAGCCACCCAAAAATTTGTTTTAAATAAATAATATTTATTTTTTAGACATAATATGATACCTAAGATACAAACTGATATTTAATGCTTTATTTTACCGAATTTTTTGCTGAATGCAACTGTTATGATATTCTAAAATATGATATTCTAAAATAAAAATTGATTTTTTACACTATACTTTATGTCAGATAAGGCTGTTATACATAGGATATAATATATATATATATATATATATGTACTTTCAACATAAAACAGTAAAATCTAGCATACAAAATTGATTTTTATCTTTAGATAAAAATCGATTTAGTATCAGATCTCCGTGTATAATTCTAAGTACTTCTATGTTTTGGTACTTAGAAATCCTTACCTTCAAAAACTTCTTTTGAAAAAATATTTCTAGGGAAGTTTTTTCATCAATAGTGGTCTTAAAATATGAATAATATAAGTGAAGCAATACATAACTTTATACTTTCTACATGTGGTTGGAAGAGGTTGAGTCAAGCTAATTGATGCAAAAAACATAAAGGTTTTTGTTTATGTTTAAAAAAAGATATAGGAGAGTAAAACTCATGAAAATTACATGTTTTTTTTCAAACAACCAAATGATTTTGGAATATCTTATCTGAGAATATCATTTCCCCCTGTATAACATTCATATTCAATATAAAACTTAGTAATATATAGCATATAGAATTAAATTTATTCTTAGAATGTCATATCTCCATGAATAACCATTGTATCTGATATAAAACTTAATTAAATAGAGCATATAAAATTGATTTTTATTATAGAATATCATACCCCCCATGTATAACAGTCATATCAAGCATTAAACATTGAAATAAACCTGTAAATTTATTTATTTTTTTGGCAATTTCTTCACCTTTTTTTAACAAACAAGAATATGATAAATTAACTTTTTTTTACAGAAGTTTTACCATTGTTAAATAGATTTTATTTGTCAAAAATGTTTTTTTTTTATTCCAATGATATAGTCGAAAGTGGTGATAACATGGTGTGTTTTCAATTTATAATATTTTGTATCATATTGTCAATACAAGATAAGATTTTTTAGTATTTTATTGAATTATTGGTTGACATTTAACATAAACTCAAAATAATATGAATTGACATGTTTTTTGTTAATAAAAGGATATATATTCTTACTTAGCTAAAATATAACAACATTAAGGGTAACTTTGAATATTTAAATTAAGCCAAAAATATTTTTCTTGCTGTTAGGGTAACATTACAATAATAAATAATAGACATCTTTTTATTGTTGTAGCCTAATTAAAATATTTATTGTTACTTTGATATTTTAATTTTAATATTTATAGCTATTTTCATAACTTTGGAAAACAATCGATCATTTATTTCACTTTATAAAATAAAATTAATACAAAGTTAGAGTCAGTCACAAACAGTAACTGACAAAAACATAACAACCTACAAATACTAACCATAAATTTGAAAAGTATATAAACTAAATAGTAAATTAATAATAATAATAATAATAATAATAATAATAATAATAATAATAATAATAATAACAATAAAATTAATAATGATAATATAGTAATAATCATTGTGATAATAACAGTAGTAATAACAATAATAATTATATTTATAATAATAACAGTAGTAATTTACAACAGTAATAATAATAAAAATAATAATGCCAATTATAGAGATATTATTACTTAAACAATAACAATAAGGGGTCGTCTATAAAGTACATACCAGGTAATTCCATATGAAATCATCCAAAACAAAAATTTTTTTTGATACCCTTATGTCTCAGAATTTGTTTATTTTTACCTCACTTGCAGTCCATATCAAAAATATAAAAACTGCAAAAATATTAGTTAAAAATACACATGGGTTTCAGAGATTTCATCAGTGATTATCTAAAGCGACTACAAAGCTACTTTGATATACAGTATCTTCATAATGGCTTGGAGAAATTTCCTAAAATTTGGTACCCCAATAGACTTTTAATTGAGGAATCCAAAAATAGCACCCTTAAGACTCAATTGTCTCTCAGGAAATGCCTTGTTTATCTATTATTGTTCAAAATTATTGACTTGTAAATTCGTGACTTTTGGAGGTAAAAAGAAGACTGTGGCCCAAAATCCCGAGTAAAAAGTTTAATTGTATATCATTATTTTATCTTAGGTTTACTTAAAAAAATTAGATTCATCAATTGTCTCTGTAATACTTGATCAAAATTTGCGTTAAAAAACTGTGTCTTTTTAGAAATTTTAGAAAAATTTCAATATTGCAACGAAAGCAATTGAAATGTATTTTAAAACATTTATTTGAATAAAACATCAAATAGCGTTATTTATTAACTAGTCTAAAACACTTATTGTCATGGTCCAAAAGAGGGCCAGGGCGCCTCTGACCAACTCTGCTCCCCCCTCACCACCACCACACACAAATCTCCCTTGATTCTTATATATATATATATATATACATACATATATATATATATATATATATATATATATATATATATATATATATATATATATATATATATATATATATATTTTTTTTTTTTTTTTTTTTAACATCTTCACTTCCAACAAGGCTGCAAGCAACCACTATAAGAGTTGGAAGTTACTGAAAGAGAAAAGACTAAATCTGTAGAGCAAGATAACGATTGACTGATGACTTAAAAGATTGCAAATTATATGAATCAGGAAAGCAAGATGAAGGAAGCGAATTCCAAAGAACTGATGTTCAAGGAAAAAAACTAGAAGAATAAGAGTTTTTGAAGCACTTAGGAACAGTCACAGAAAAAGGATGAGACTTAATTGAATGGCGAGTAACACGAGAATGAATTTTAGTAGATGGCACAAGGGACGCTAGCTCTTTAGAGCAGTGCCCATTATAGTATTTGTAGAAAAGAGAAAGAGAAGCAACATTACGACGATGTGACAAAGGTTGGAGATTGGCTGCCAGAGCAGGTCCAACTATGTTTACAATTCGTTTTTGCACCTTGTCTAAAAGAGAAAGAGTATCATTAGAAGATCCGCCCCAGATGTGGCAACAGTATTCCATACAGGGACGGATTTGAGATTTATAGAGATAGAGAATAGAATCTGGAGTAAGAAAGTGTCGAGCTCGATAAAGAGATGCAACCTTAGCAGATGCTAATTTTGCAATGGATTTGATATACGGTTTAAAAGAAAGATCAGAAATAAGAGTTAATCCTAGAAGATGAATGGTAGATGACTCATCTAGTACATTACCATTCATAAATATAGGAAGATCTAAATTATTATGATAACGATTGGCCGAATAAAATTGAGTTTTATCTGAATTAAAGTTCACCAGCCACTGTGAGCCCCAAGCTGTAGCAGAAGTGAGATTCTTTTCAAGCTCAGATACCCCCTCCAAGCAATCAGAGAGTGTAGGCTTCTTATCATGACAAGAGTAAATGGTAGTGTCGTCAGCGAATAATGCCACCTTAGATGTGAGAATATCTGGAAGATCGTTAATGTAAATTAAAAAGAGTATAGGGCCAAGGATTGATCCTTGAGGAACCCCTGAAGTTACAGGATGTGAAGAAGAGTGTTGTCCATCGAGGACAACTTTTATACTACGATTGGAAAGAAAGGACTCAATAATCTTAAAGACGTTACCTGCTACACCATAAGAAGAAAGCTTATGGAGAAGACCAGCATGCCAAACTTTATCAAAAGCTTTAGAAATGTCAAGTGCGATAGCCTTAACCTCTCCACCTCTATCTAATGCACGGTAAAACCTATCGGTTATTACTGTTAGCACATCAGCTGTAGAACGAGAAGACCGAAATCCATATTGATGATCAGAAAGTAAGTTATTTGATTCAAGATGAGAGATTAAGTGTTTGTTGATTAAAGATTCAAAAACCTTGCTTATGACAGGAAGAAGACTAATGGGACGGTAGTTAGATGAATCAGATCGCTCTCCGGAATTTTTGAAAATAGGGATAACAGATGCTGCTTTCCAGCATGATGGAAAACAAGACTCTGATAAGCACTTGTTAAATAGTTTAGAAAGTATGGATGAAAGCTCTGGAGAACACCTCTGCAAAACTACAACAGGAATGTTGTCAGGACCACAAGCTGTTGAAGAGTCTAAGCAGGAAATTACTTTAGATACAGAAGCTGAAGTGATGCCAATGTCAAGCAAGGGATCAACCTGTTTGACGGCTATGTCAGGTAAAACGCAACTAGTGGAATCAAGAAATGATATTGATGAAAAGTTCTTAGCAAACAATTCAGCTTTGTCTTTAGGTGAGGTGACAAAGTCTGAACCATACAAGAGAGAAGGAATAACAGATTTGCCCTTATTATTGATACTGTTAAAGATTCTCCAGAAGTCTCGAGAGCCTAATTTTTGTGATGAGATACAAGATTTAATGACCTGGGAATAGCGAGCTTTGGCGTCAGACAATACCTTTTTACAATGGTTTCTGGTGATAGTGAACAGATGTCTGTTTTCTGGAGAATTGTTTTGCTGATAGATATGGAAGTAACGGTTTCGATTAGAAATTGCTGCAGCGCAATGTGAGGAAAACCAAGGAGAAGAGTGAGGCTTGACCTGGAATCGTCGAGAGGGAATAAAAGATTCCATGCCAGCCTGAATCCACAAAGTTATGTAAGAAGCACATTTGTCAGCAGGAAGACAAAAGATTTCTACCCAAGGGCCATCACGAAGAAAATCACGGAAAGAGTCCCAGTCAGCTTTAAGGTAGTTGTATGTGGTACGATGATAGGGGGATTCTGATGAAGTAGAAAAATTTGATAATAGTTTTAGAGAGATCAAACCGTGATCAGAAGTACCTAAGGGTGAATGTGGAGAAATTGAGCACTGACTAGGATCCAAAACAAGACATAAGTCAAGTAGAGAAGGTAAATGATTAGGGTTGTCTGGAAAACGAGTTGGAAAGTTGACTATTTGAGTTAGAGATTGAGAAAGGCAAAAGTTGAGGGCCTTAACGCCAGCAGAGTCACTGACACTAGAGCCAAGCCAATCGGTGTGATGGGCATTAAAGTCACCAACAACGACGATATTGGCCGATGGATAAAGAGAGAGGGCTTGGTCAATTTGATCAGAAATAACATCAAGAATAGTGCAATCTTGGGATGAAGGAGAGCAATATAGAACAAAGAGAAAGGCGATAGAGTGAAGTTGTGCTAAACGAAAGCACATAAATGAATAGTCTGTAGATTCAAACCTAGTTTCATGACAAATGGGTGAGTTCTTACGAATGTAGATGCCCAGGCCAAGCATGTGATTATTGGAGTCTTTATGAATTAAAGGAAGATAACCATCAACACTAAGATCACAAGATGGGACAGCCAAACTCAAATATATATATATATATATATATATATATATATATATATATATATATATATATATATATATATACCAACTGCTTATATTCTCCAAATCTAAATCAGATATGTTGTACATACAACCTGATGTTGTTGTGGGTGTAGAAATTAGACATAACTTCAGAATTGTGCACCTAACATTTGTCATTTCTCATTGACGTAAAGAGGTTTTTACCTGCTCCATGTGGATCTGACTTTTATATCAAGCTTACTCACATCTTCAGCAATCCCTACCTACGAAAATTCATCCTAAAAACATGCAATATAATCCATTTTTTTAATGTTTAATAAAATCTCTTTATTATGTTTGCTTTTCAAAATGATATTAAATATTTCAATACATGTATCAATACCTGTTTTTTTTTATCACTTATAGTGTTGGAAGCAATTGGAATAAAATGATAATGTGCGGTCGTGGCACAGTGGTTAGAACACTTGCTTTATAAGCAGGAGATCCAGATTCGAAACGAGCTTTGGACATATTTTCGGTCACGGTATTGAAGGAGGCGTAAACTTTCTTGTTAAATGCAGTTCCGCGGTGCTCTGTGACAAGACCGTTAGGACTTCTTGGGGCACCTAAAATAACAACCAAAAAAAAAAAAGCTATATCCTTGTGACAGGAACTGTTCTTTCACCTAAACATATTTTTTCTAATTGTGATTGTGTTTGACTGGTAGCAAAAAATACCCATTCAGCATTTAAATCAAAGTCTTTACTGTGATGACAAAGATTGATAAAGTTTTTTAAAATTTTTAAATTGTGCTGCACAACCATTGAAAAAGTATTTCACACTTAATACACAGGTAAATTTTCTTTGATATTTCTGCTTATATCTTTTTAAGTCTTGCAAATCAACCCTGTGTCATGATCAACATCTTCTAAAAGGTAACAAAAAGATTTATGTTTAAGAACTTTTTTCTCTATATAAAATAAAGTACAATTGTAAAAAGTTAACATTGACTTTCGCTCCAGTGATAACTTTGAACCTCATCCTGAACAACATATTGATAATTTTCTGTAAAATCTCCTAAAATTAGGCATTCATTTTGTTTAAGATTTTCTTTACAGTTTTTCAAATATCTACTTTGTATTTTTGCAATATATGAATGAGTGGTGATGTTGTCAATGCTGTCACATAATAAATCATTAAATTCATCAAGTGGCAATGATCGTAATAGTGTTGTTCGATTGGTACTCTGCCATTGCTTGAATGCTACATCTTCTTCGAGCTAATGGTCCATAACCTCTGCACTGAAACATTTTTTAATGCTTCAATACCAGAGCATTAGTTAATCGATGCAACAAACATTCTACATTTTCAAAAGAAAAAACAATCAATGCCATGAAATCTTTATAACTTTTATTCCACCTAATTGCATTAATGAGAAATTTGGGTGATACATGCATACACATACATTTTGATTACCTGACGCATTAGTTGTAATGTACCCTTTAGGTTTAAGAATACAAAACTTTGACAAACTAACTTAACGTTAGGGTAGTCTTCTTTAAATGCAACATATAATTCATTAAGATTGAGTAGCAATAATCTTTTTTGAACATGTTGGTTTTTCCTATTTTTTCCTATAGTGGTATCTAACTTAATTTTTTTCTCACTTTTTGATTCTAATTCCTCCTGTGAATTTAAATTTTCATCAGTTTCTACTGCTATTTTGTAACATTTACTGAGTTTTTAAAATAACTGAAAATATAAAATTTTTTGTAAATAATAAATTGTTTTTCCATATCAATTTTGTTGTAATTAATGTTAGATCACCTTTTATAGCAATTTTTTTAAATTCCTTGTGTATTCCGAACGGATTGCAACACTTAGTAATTTTTCTCTCAAAATATTTTCCATACAATTGTTAACGATAAAAACATATAATTCTTATTAAACAATATTTTTTCTTTGCTTGCCATATTATTTTTTGTTTTTCACAAGGAAGATCTTTGAATTGAATAAAACCTTGTTTTCTAGAAAATCCAGTATTATGGAAATGAATGTTAAAACTTTTTCCAATGTCACATTTCTCAATATTAAATATGATTATTAGTTATAATATTACCTGCCAAAAAAATTTTAAAAACAATAAAATTCACAATCATTATTTAAGAAAATACAAATAAGTAAAGTACAACCTTTAAAAAGAACAAAACAAAAATTTTGCTTGTTTTTGATAAAATAAGAGGTAATCATTTGCTGACTTGAATTAAAATAATGAAAATAAATTGTGCACATCTCAAACATAAACTAAAAAAAAATTATGTTTTTAAATTGAATTTTAATAATTATTTATTATTAATTCATTTTTTGTATATATATATATATATATATAAAAATCCAGAGATATTTGTGTGTGTGTGTTGGGAGAGGGGCGGAGTTGGCCAGAGGTCCCCTGGCCCTCTCTTGGACCATGACTATAAATGTCCTAAACTATTCAATAAATAACATTATTTGATGTTTTATTCAAATAAATGTTTTAAAAAAATTTTCAATTACTTTCGTTGCAAAATTGAAATTTTTCTAAAAAGACACAATTTTTAAATGCAAATTTTGATCAAGTATTACAGAGACAATTGATGAACCTAATTTTTTTAAGTAGACCTAAAATAAAATGATATATAATTAATCTTTTTACTTGGGATTTTGGTCCACAGTCATGAATTTACTAGTCAATAATTTTGAAAAATTAGATAAATGAGGCATTTCCTGAGACAATCAAGTCTTGAGGGTGCTATTTTTCGACTCCTCAAGTAAAAATCTATTGGGATACCAAATTTTAGGAAATTTCTCCAAGCCATTATGAAGATGCTGTATGTCAAAGTAGCTTTGTAGTCGCTTCAGATGATCACTAAAATGCTGAGTCAGCATTATTTCAACTGATGATATCTCCAGAACCCATGTGTATTTTTAAACAAAATTTTTGTAGTTATTATATTTTTTATATGGGCTGCAAGTGAAGTAAAATTGAACAAATTCTGAGACATAAGGGTGTCATGGTCTGCATGATTTCATATGGAATGACCCTACGCTTTTCTTTTAGCAGACCCACACAAATACATTAAATATATATATACACACATACATATACATATACACACACACATACACATACATACACACATACATATATACATATACACACATACACATACATATATACATACATGCATACATACATACATACATACATACATACATACATACATACATACATACATACATATACATGCACATAAATATGCTATTATCAAACTAATTTTTATTAACAATAGCAATTATTATAATTTAAGCATTCAAAAATGCCAAGAAAATATTTGAGAAAAATATTGCAATAGATCTAATTTGTTAAATTCTACTCTTCGAGAGGCATTAACGAAAATTAATTTAGAAAAAAAGTTGAACATTAGAGTTTTTTAAAGAAGTAAATTTGTACTGATTGCAAAACTAGCTTATATGTTCCATGTTAATATATGAACTCTAAGGAGATTTTGTTTTCATGTTTTGTTTCAATCTTAGGTTTGAGGAGACTGATATGTTTTTTTATTACATAACTCTAATAAAACTTCATCCTTAAACCATTAAACACTTTTGAAAGTTTAGGAAAACTTTGGCAGGCTGCATTAAATTATATAGAAAAATGACGATTGGATATTAGTACTCTATTTGAAAAATTAACAAAAGAAGTAAAATTTATGTTTGTCTACTGAACAGTAACTTTTTGTACAATTACATATAAACACTGACATTACAAGCAAGAAAAACTATTGAAGTCAAATAAGTTAACCAAATAAAAGTGGATTATGGCATCAAAAAAATGCAAATGATTGTGGCATTCTTTTTTTTTTTTTTTTTTTTTGTGATAATTGAAAAAAAAAATCATAAAAAAAAATCATATAAAGTGGTAAAAATTAAAAGTTTTAATGGAAAAAGAGTAATGGAGATTAGACAGAAAATTTTTTTTGTGTGAATAAACTTTTGAAGTACATTTGTATGTGTGCAATTTTTCTTTTTTCTACCTCTTTACCCTTGGTTCTCCATAAGATGTTACATGAAGAGTTACTCTATCAGGTAACAAATCTAAAAAGATTTCTAAATGTAATATTCCTGTTCTATTAGACATACTCAATACAAAGTTTATATGCAGTTGTACCAGACTACTAGTAAAGTACTTAAAGTATTAAAATGTAAATCTTAAGCTGGAACAGAGGTTGTTCTGAGCTCTTTACTGCATCTTTATACGAACTTCAAGTTCGTATAAAGATGTTTTACTCTTTATAATTAACAAGTTCAACTTGTTAATTATAAAGAGTACAATTGGATATTAATAATTTATTTGAAAACATAACAAATAAAGTGATATTTTTCTACTGAAAAGTTTTTTTGTACAGTTACATATAAGCTTTGATATTGCAAGCTAACAAAGAGTATCAAATATTTTTATATCATTATTCAAGAGGTATTCACAAAAACTTTAAAAAAGCACACTTGATTTTATTGGTTATACCAAAAATTACATAATGAAATTATTCATAAAATTTAGAAATACAGAATGCATTTAAATTAATTTTTATTATTCTAGATTTTTTTCCCTTCAGGAGTATTTAATTTAAAATAAATTGATAGCATAATAAACATAAATTATATAAAATTTGTTGCTTTATTTAATATTATTTGCCATCAGTTAGGTAAACATTTTTTATATTATTACCATATCAGCGATTACTCAAATTTATTTATTTATAGATAACTGATTTGATTTTAACTTAAGCGCTAAAGCCTTTCTCTCAAAATCAGCCAATCAGATCACGAATATCTCTGTCTGTTTCAAATTTAGCTTCCGGGAAATATTGCTTCAAATTTCAGCAAACTTTCAAAAAAATTTTATCGCAATAAACTCTAGTTTCACAAAATTAATTTCTTTGTTTCAAAAATAAGCGTTTTATCATTGCAGTATTAATCTATTATTTAAACATTCTGATTAAAAATATAAAATAATAAAGACCTAGAAGCAAAAAATACACGTTTTTTTGAAAAAAAATTTATCAAAAATTGCGCCTTTTTTAAAAAAAGCAATGAAACGCTCAATTTGTTTCAGGATTCATTTACGTATATTACTTTTGTGGACCAACAAAAAGTATATATCTACCATGTTAGCATTTCTTTTAAGTTTGTGTGTAACATATTTCTAGCTTTTACTTCTCACTACGATGTAAAATATTCACAAAATACAAAGAATAAAATCTTTTTTAGATTAATAAACTTTAATGCGCATTATTTTTGTAGAGTGTTTTAAAAAAACAAAGATTTTCTATGTGTAAAGACTGCATGTAAGATTTTAAAAAAGATGATGATTTTTATGTATAAATATTGCATTTAAAACAATTTTATAAAAGGTAAACGTTATAAATGCACTAGCTGTGTTAGATTTTAATAATATATCTATAAATGACATTGGAAAACGCATTTATCTGAATGTTCCGTGAAATAATAATAAATTAATTTGCTTCGTATGATGTTTATAAAACACACACACGCACGCACACACACACGCACACACACTCGCACACTATAGTGGATCATTTGTCTATGTGAAAAATAAAAGTTTTTTATTTAGATTTTTAATAATGAAAAAAAGTTGTCATTGGTAACATAGAATCATCGTGTAAAGATATTTTAACTTTGAAAATGAACCTGGTTCAGAAATCAATAACTCTCAATCTGCTCTCAATCACAGGTCTACGATAGAATTGAGTTCCTTCTTTTTGAATTATCATCGTTTTATCTTTTCGCCTATCAAAATAAAGACCCCTCAAAAACTTTGATGTTTGACAGGCTTTCAATTCTATTCGTTTTCTATGTCGTTCTCGTCGTACTTTATTTCTATCAATAACACTAGTTCAATTTGTTTCTGTTACAATCCAAATGTCTTGCAAAACTGCAGATACAATTGTGGCTGCAGCTCTATCTGATATACCGTGTCTGTCACAAGCCAGTGCCGATGCTGTAAATTTCAGTCGTGGACTGAACGAGGTAGACGTGGTTGGCAATATGTCATTGTTTTTCGGTTGTAAATTAGTACCTGCATATTTATAAATATTATCAGTTTTGCTATCACTTTTATAAATTGCATCTTCTTCGGAACTAATCATCGCATCGGTTGTATTGTTCTTAGGGTTTTCATCACTCATTTTGTTTAACTTAAGCATTTATCTTTCTTCTTCTGCTTTTCGTTTTTGTCTCTTTAGTAATTTTTGTTTTGAAAGTTTGTCAACACCACTAATTCACATAAGGCGTAAATTTTGTTGATTCACTAGAAATTCTTGCTCTTCTACGGGTACTTTGTATAATTTGTCACAACGCCATGCTGACAAATCACACTTGCATGCTGCAATATCAAAAAGTTTGGTTTTATTTTCATCTCAAAATTTGCGAAGAATAGCTTGGTACTTGACATCCATCTGTTAACTTTTGAAAGGCTTTAGGAAACTTCTATACTTGTCGTGGTATGCCCGGATGAGCTGTAAGACACAAGCATAAGGTGCAACTGGTATAGGCGCTCTACCCCAAATCCGTTCAAATTTGACTGCCAGTGGTTCGGATATTTCTGAAATAGTTGGATCTTTTGCGATGCTGGATTGCTTTAGTTCATGCCTCAGCAACA